TGCTGGGGATGGAACCTGGGAGCGGGCCGTTACCTCACGCCCCTTAGGAGTAACTTCATTTTGCTGAGATGAAGCTGGGTTTTATTCTGCCTTCCTGCTGAGTCTCCCGAGGCTGGGCAACTGCTGTCAGTGCCGCTGGTGGAGATGATGAGAATGGGTGAACCGGGGATGCTGCCAATTTGTATTTTGTGCTGTTTTGACGGCTGTAACACTCGGTTCTGAAAGTCCGTGCCGCAGTTAGAACCATGGAATCATTACGGTTGGAAAGACCTCTAAGCTCACCTAGTCCAACCGCCAACTCATCACCACCACGCCCACTGACCGCGTCCCTCAGCGCCACATCCGCACGGCTCTTGAGCACCTCCAGGGACGGTGACCGCACCGCCTCCCTGGGCAGCCCGTGCCACTGCCTCACTGCTCTTCCCGAGAACAATTTTTTCCTAACATCCAACCTGACCCTCCCCTGGTGCAACTTGAGGCCATTCCCTCTCACCCTATTGCTGCTCCCTGCGAGAAGAGGCTGACCCCAGAGGTACACTGGGAAACCCGGTGCCCAGCCCAGGATGAGACTCAGAGCTACCTTCCAGCTGTGACATGTGTCACGTATGTAGGGTCCAGCCGCCTCGGTGTGGCCCCAGAAATAATCACATCAATCAACCGACATATGATTAAAAAACATCTCCTCCGTGCTTCCATTAAAAGCTCTCTTAGGCAGCCAGATGGTTTCACTGCAGCCCGTTTTTAAAGGCACTTAACATCAATAATACACTCTCAATAATTTTACTTGACTAGCCTAGAGGTAATTGACATTGTTATTGGTGAGCTGCCAGCCCTGTCCGCCCCCGTGTGGCTGCGGTGAACCTAAAAGAAGGCTCCTGGCAATGCATCCAGCCAGCGACACCAGTACCCATCACCTCAGTCAGAACTTATAACATGGGGGATCACACCATAAGCCACAAAAAGACTGGCTGTGCTGAGACATTCCAGGCCCAGCTGTGTCTTTCACACTGGAGCCATTCAGGGCAGCCTGTAGGTCATCCTCTTAATTTTGGAGTATTATTGCTAAACTCGTCATCAGCACGGTGCTTCCCTGTATAAGCTGATAGGCCAGCAGAATATATTCATTAACCTGACATTGCTTTTTTCATGAATATCAAGCTGTTACTTACAGTTAATCAGCTCTGAAGTCAGATCTCGATTAAGCCACCCTCCTGCTCTCTCCTGTTTATCAGGAAGGCACTTTAATTGCTTGCTTTCCTATCAAAATGTTTCCAGCATGCTGAACTCCGCAACATTAGCCTGAGGACAGAGTTATGAAACTCCCACAGAAATACATGTCAGCTGACTGCCAGGCTGTACCTTCCAGTAAGCTTGGCATACCTCACTGATGACATGTTCAAGAGGAAAATGCACAGGTGCTTTAGTACAATTGGCAGTAAGCTCATTTTTTAAACCGGTATTTTGCTTAAAATTGCTTAACACAGAGAAGAGAGTCATTAGCTACCAGCTCTCCACCAGCTCCTCCTGCCCTGCCATGGCCTAGCAGGCACAGTGGGGAAGGAAGGAACCCGCTGGTGGGAGTGGAGGCACCAGGTAACAAAGTGCTCACTGAAGTAGCCTGTTTGCAGCCATTTTTCAGGGCTAAAAGTTAGAACAGGCTCTGAAACTGCTGTAATAAATCAAGGGCTGATAGGATAATGTGTTACTTTTCCCTTTTTCTGACTTCTTTAAGATTATCTACTGCACCAACCATCTCCCAGCATGCCAATGACTTACGTAGGAGCACTACATCCATCCAAGCTTGTTCTGGGGTCACCAGTTAGGTTATTTAGTATCACATGCATTAATCTGCAAACTTCTTTTGTACAAGCTTACCACGAAGTGCCACATTGTCTTGAGGGAACTATTAACCTAGACAGATGGCACTGACTGGCACGCTGAGACATGGCTAAAACCTGCTCTCCTCATCCTCTCTCAGGTGCTGGGTCATCCAGCACTTGCTCATGGAGTTGTGTACCAAAAGGCACAATTTGGAGACTTATGGATTATTGAACAGAACAAACTCACTAACATGGATTCCCCTTCATCCGTATAGTATGAATGAGTGCTCTGCAGCTTTGAGGAGTGAGGATGACATAGCTTGAGATGGCTGATGAGCCTCTCACCTTTAGTTGTCACCTATTCCCAAGGGACAGGCTGCTCACAGATGGCTGTTGAACCACATGTTAAAAAAAAAAACACACAGTGCCTTAAAGGAAATCATCACCAAAAAGATGTCACTAGACTGGGACAGCCTCAGAGCTGAATCAGAAGTGACTCAGCCATCATGCAGCGAGAGCATATTTGCTTGGGATAAGAGCTTCACTAGCTGCCTCTGAGCTAGGTCACCCCTAGTCCCTGAAGATGAGCACATATCAACATAATGCATAAGTGGAGTCAAGAAGAGCTACTACCCTGCCAGCCACAAAGGGCTCAAAGTTTGGTATTCTTCCATTCCTGTATCACCTCTGCCCCAAAGCCTTTCAGTCTTGAGTATTCCTGTTCCCTGTTGGCACTCCCTAGAGTGTCCCTACAGAATTCAGAAATGAGAATGCAGCTGTCAATGTTTTATTTATTTATATTTCCTAGCAAAAATTGATTACTTGCAAATTCAAGCCCCTCTCCTTCCCTAACACTTAATGGACTTGAGCTCTCAATTTTCATAAAGGCAATGGAAACTATCAGTCAATGCCAAATGGCTTCTCAACAAGGAGGAGGAGAGTTAAGACTGGTAGTGGTCAATAGCCACACATTTATGTATACAGTGCATGAGAGGAAAAAACATGCTCTTATATGGTTTTACTGTCTTTTCACTTTATTGGTGTGGTATATTATTTGCTTTTAGTAATCCCACTATTTTAGCCAACTCTTTGTTTTGAAGGCCACACCACAATTCTTTTGTCAAATTTTCAAAATGTCTTCTGTCTTCAGAGCGGTAAGGCTCCCCATTGCATCCTTGAGTTGATGCTCATTTGCAACCTGACCAAAAGTATTGCATAAAAAAGAGGAAAAGGATGAAATTCTTAATTATCCTTCCCACAAGTGAGAGTTGGCTGTAAGAAGAATGCACTGTAGTATCTAAAACTAGTGACCAGAGGTCTTCCATCTTACCAAGAATCTAAAGGCAGATGGCACTGCTGCATCCATCGATCCATGCATTCATGCAATAGCAGGTATACAGTAACAGTGGCAAGAAACTTATTTGGTTTAAGTCAGTGAGGTTAAGATCCTGGGAATGCAGAGAAATACTAGCATGGTATCTTTGTCATGAAAAGTTGTCTCCTTCCCAAGAGCAGAAAATAACTCAATTTCACCATTTACCATCCTAAAAGTTCTTCAACTGATATCTTGTGGGGATATGCTCTCTGAAGGAAAGGCAATCTAATGCTAACTCCACAAGCCCATTTGATTCAGTGGGGTTGTGTCTTCTCTGTTCAACACAAAACGTCCCTCCGTATGTACTTGCAATCATATAACAGTGTTAACAAGAATTTACTTCAGAGAGCTTGGGTTTCTTCTGAAAACAAAACCAAGTACATGCATATCCCAGGATCTCTCATTTCTTAATCCAAAGATTATTCCTCCTTTCTTTACCTATTCCAGAGTCAATACTCACTACTGCTCTCCAGAAGCACAGAGGTAGATCTTAATCACACCTCATTGCTTTCCATGGTACCACACACTGTGCCCAGGTGCAATGAGCTCTGTTCTGACAGCACAGACCATGGCTGTGTTAAACTCTGCCAAGCTGTCAGGTGCTTTTTGCAACCTGTATGATGCTCTGCAGTCCTTGCTATTGAGAACAGGAGGCCAGGTTCACTATGATGTTCCACAGCCTTCAATGGGGAAAGCAGGCAGAGCATACTGAAATCCAATTACCTAAGCAAGAGAACTGTGCAAAAATACTCAGAAGTAATAATGCTCAACTTCATAGTAAAGTAGAGCTCAAAGGAGAGCATCTCACTGCCTAGCCTTTCCTTTTGCCTGAAGGGAATAGCCACCACATCCATGTCTTTTTTGTTATGCACTTGTCTTGTACAGCATCATCATTCCCATACCCTTTTTTTTAACAAAAACATTACGTAACTCTTCATTCCCCAACCTGTATTTGTGAATATTATTGTCTGTGTAGTTCCTGGCATTTGTTTCTTCTAATTTTCATTCAACTTTTTCAGATCATTTCTCTGAGCCAAAAATTCATTTAATTTATAGCTCTGTCCTCAAACACATTTGGAGTCACAGAATCATTAATATTGGAAAAGACCACTAAGATCATCTAGTCCAACCATCAGCCCATCCCCACCATGCCCACTAGCCATGTCCTTAAGTGCCACATCTACAGTTTCTCAAACATCCCCAGGGATGGTGGGTGCCTGCCTCCCTGGGCAGTCTGTTCTAATGCACTGCCACTATTTCTGAGAAATTTTTTTTTCCTAATATCTGAATACCTGAACACCCCTTGGCACAACTTGAGGCCATTACCTTTCATTACTTTCCTATCTTTGTGCAATCCCTGAACATGAATACCCTCTAGCTATTATGGGCACAGCAGACAGGTGCAGAAGCAGTGTACAGTTCCATTCAGGACATCCACCATTCCTTCCAATCCACCACCGCCAATAACAATTATATCCTAACCAATTTCGTAGCTCTCCCAGCGCCGTTTCATGGCCTTTTTATACCCAGCTATATGGCAGGGGATAGGCCTAGCGCAGAGCTGCGCAGAGGGATATCCGCACCAGGCACCTGTGCGATATGGAGCTGGAGGCAGAAGGGGGGTGTTGGCTTGGCTGTGAGGCGTCTGGGGAGCTGCCAGCCATCAGCCGGGCCTTGTGCCTTAAACCGACCCCAGATCCTTTCCCCCTTTGGCAGCCCTCGGACCCGCCAGCCGGGACACCCCGCGTTCCCCGCTGCCAGCCCCGCGAAGCCACCCCTGCGACACGATCCCGAGCCGCGCCTACCGATAATAGCGGTCATCCTTGTAGGGGGTGAGGTCCTCCCTGATCTCCCGGTAGGTCTCCCTCACCCGCTTGCAGAAGCGCTTGAGCTCGCCGCACAGCGGGCTGCCGAAAGCGGCGAAATCCGCCTCCATGCCGCCTCAGGCGCCGCGCTCCGCCATGCCGCCGCACGGCCCGCCCCGCGCTGCGCCGCGCCTCGGGGTGGGGCTTCCGCTCGGTTCAGCACCACGGACAGCGGCAGCCGCGGCCCAGGGGCGCGGGGAGACCCCTGCCTCAGCTGAGCGAACCTGCGGAATAAATGGAGGCTCAATGCCTCACATGCATGTGTATGCAAACCGTTCTATTCTTAAAAACATTCTGCTTCTGTTTACAATGAACGTCCTGATTATTCATAATCTCTTTTACCTTCCTGACCCTTCGGCAGCATTATATGCATAAAAGAAATTTTATGCTAAATCCACTTTTCATGGTCGTAAGGCTGCAAAGGGCCCAATGTTAGGAATTGTGCTGTTTGGAGTTTCAGGGTGGCTTCTACTGATGCCTTTTCATTTGGAATAGTGCTGCATTGCCTTCACCTGTGTTAAACTTTAAACTTTCCTCAGTAAAATTCCAACCTTAATATTTTCCATGAATTCATGTCAGCTGTGGTGTGCACACTAAGAATGAAAGCTTCCTGCTATTGATACATTGTTATTGTTTCCAGAGAGTATAGATACAAGTCTCAAAATCTGCTTTACTGTCCTTCCCATGCAAGGACACTGGAACAGGTTGCCCAAGGAGGTTGTGGATGCCCCATCCCTGGAGGCATTCAAGGCCAGGCTGGATGTGGCTCTGGGCAGCCTGGTCTGGTGGTTGGCGACCCCGCACCTAGCAGGGAGGTTGAAACTACATGATCACTGTGGTCCTTTTCAACCCAGGCCATTCTATGATTCTATGGAAGCATCTTCCCTATGTGAATTCAGGAAGTCAGACTGGACTGTTCTGCAGCCTTGCCCTCAGTCTACGTTTTACCCCTTGTAGTTATCAGTCAACTTCCACATCTCACCAAGATGAGGTACATGAGATGTCATTTCAGGTGGTGCAATTGAGGAGGGACAACATGGCTTCCACCACAGGTGGGAAGGAGAGGAAGAATGATCTTCAAACGTGAAATTCTCCTTCGCAGCTCTGGATATTTCTAAGTCTGAAAAGATACAAGCAACAAGATAAAAGCCACACACACACTTAGACTGGAAGGCTACAAACAACCCATGAACTGTTCTGGCAAAGGTCCAAAGGGGAGCAAAGAAACTCACCACTTGAAGGCAGATCTTGATCTCTGAAGCCACTTAGAAACCTAGGCAGTGGCCTCCGAGGCTCTGCAGGTTTCTCATGCTCCAGTAGCAACTTCCTGCATTTTGCTGTGTGCGACCGTTCAGCCTCTACCAATGCATGCAGATGGTCATTAAGCAGGGCTACCCTGGAGTGTTTATTTCAGTGTAAATGCTTCATTGGAGAGCAAGATTAATTCTTGCTTTGAGGGGAATCAAGGCTTAGAATTCTTTCTTGTATATATTGTTTGGTGATCGCAGACTCAGAGGGAGGAGTTAACAGTGGGATTTTTAAATATTTACCAAAAGGAAGAAATAAAAACATTTGTGGCTTTGGATGGGCAAAAACACATTCACTGCTGGGAGTTTATATAATTAGTGTAGCGAAGTAATAAAAAATATGCTCAAAGATTAGAACTCCCTACCATATAATTACTTGCAGCTAAGTGATCTCTACTGCATTTATTTAAAAAACAACAAAAAACAAACAACAAAAGAACAGGGCTGCTTGAGGGCCCAGAGCAGCACCATTACAGAGATGCAATCTAGTTTCCTCCTCATTGTGCTGAGCATTACCCAGACTGGCTTCAAATCCATCCTGAGGGCACTCTGGTACCAGAGGAGATCTGAGCCACCTTGGAAGGATGACAAGCTGGCAGGTTACTTGCATGGAGAAAGCGTTAGAACTGACCATATACTATTAACCCACTGACTTCTGCTACCAAATAAAGCAGACATTGTCTCAAATAATTACCAAGCATTACAGGGTTAAAAATCCTATGCTTATGAATAATGTAGTTTGCAACTGTGCGAGCCAATTGCATAGTCCTGCTGTGGTCCATGTTAGATTCTCAAAGACTCTGAGAATGTAAGGGATTAGTCTCTTAAGGTCACCATGTTGATAAAATAAGCCATACACACGGCTATATGCATGCAGCGATGTGCTCATTGAATGCTCCCAGTTAAGGCCACACTGAAAGCAAGTAGGGCTGTGATGGTTGTGCTTTGCGCAGCCAACAAAACACCCAAAGGATAAGCACAGGGATGGCTTGTGAAACACAGCCATCTGAAAGCAATTTTGAGAAAATGATGAAAATGATACCATAGTTACAAGTCTGCTCTGTTTGTTTCACTGTTCTGTTGTGTTTTTTTTTGTTTGTTTTTTGTTTTTTTTTTTTGTTTGTTTTTTGTTTTTTTAAGTGCAGCCCCTGATACACACCAGTAGCTCCCAGATAACATTCTAAAGGAAAAAAAAAAAAATAGTTTCTATCTAAATGGCTTCTTCAAAGAAATTTCAGATGTTCTTTCCTTTTAAAACAACAAAAACATTAAAACAGACTTAATATTAAACAGTCACTACTATTAAAACCACCTGCCTGTCTTGTTTTGGCAAATTGTAATGAATTAAACCATTACTCCTCAGAAGCCAACAGATCACACTGCTGCCTTCATAGGTTGTCATTGTTTCCTGCCTGTTTGATACATTCATGGATTAGAGTGGGCTGGCACAGAAAAGCATTCAATTCTGCAGATTCCATAATTTCAGTAAAAGCAAAGGGAGGTCAAAGACTCACAGTTTTGACAAGATGCAATAGCACCAAGAAAATTCCCTGCACTTTAACTCTGAGGAGAACAACTTGCCATGTGCATTTCAGGGCACCTTGAGAACACTTCACCAAACACAGCAACTTCTGTGTCAGCCTTGTTTGAGTTCTGCTGCTTTTTACAGCACATAAGAAGAGACAGGCAGCATCAAACTGCATCTGGGAACAAGCCAATCTAAAGCAATGTTGAGAATCCTATAAATCTCAGTTAGAAGCCAAATGTCTGGAACTTCATACATCCCCTGGGTGCTCCCAGTGAGGGGGAGAACAGCCCCAGGAGTCTATAACTACGATGTGATCAAGCTCAACATCTGCTCAGTGCGTGCAGCATATCATCTCATGTGGACAAGGTTTATTTTGGAGGTGGAGCTTAACAGAAATCTCCAAGTCAATTTTTCTTCTTGATTCTCCCCTGTGTATAGTTAGTATTTTACACATTAGCCACGCATATTAGATTCTGATAGCATCTAAACACAAAGCTTGGAAATCCAAGTAAATGCATCAGGATTATTACTTCAGGCTCTTCCAGAAAGAACAGTAACCGGTGCTGAGAAGGTGAAGAAATACATGCTGCCAATTGAGGTCCTACTTTTTTCTTTTTTCTTTTTTTTTTTTTTTTAAGCAAAAGAAGAAAAAGCACAACCAGACACAGCTGTTTAGCAAATATTTTCCCCTTCAAAATTGTTCTGAGCTGGAGAGAGGCAGCTTCAGACTGCAACAACTGCTGTTTCCCTTCAGAGGGAAGCTAAGGAGTGACATGTCAGATTGCACAGAAAAAAAAACATGTGTTCATGCTGACTTTCCCAAGGTAAGACAGTATCAGCTGCTGCCATCAAGCTGCAAATACACTTCTGGATCTAGCTGCCTGCAGGAGCTGTCAGTGAGCATCCCTGAATAGGACAAGTAGGAACTGTGCTAAGTCCCACAGGAACTTCAAGTCTTTGGTCTATTCTGCCATCTTCTTTGCTACTGCCTTGATACTGGAAGAAGATAATCCCTGCCTGTCCCCAAACCACCTTGGTTTGACTGTTGCCTCCTGTCAGAAAACCAGCTGGCCACAGCTAATCAGTTCCGTGCCTGTGGCTGTTGCCATACGGCCCTTACTCCTCCTGCAGAGGATCACAGGGGTGTGCTGGGTACTGGTAAATCTTGGGGAGCTCAGCAGGAGTGTGGCACTCACAGTGATGCAAGGCTGCTCATTTTTATTTGAAGAGTGGCATAGAGGCATCAGCTGGGACAGCCCTTGACAGATCATCTTTAGCAAATAATCTCTTAGCTGACAGGGGCTTTGGAGCCATGGCTGGGCTTGTCATCACTGTGAGGAATGAAGCTTTCAGCAACTGGCTGCAGCTGGGAGTCCTGACCCTCAGATCAGCAGCAAGAAACACTCATCTCTTTCTGTCTTCAGAGACAGATTTTTCTGCCTGCTTTGAAGAGATGTGAAGACAAGAAAATAAAATGAGATCTATCATTTCTTTTGATCAAAAGATAAGAAGATTCCCTTGAAAGGTAGTTTCAAGGATTGGAAAGAGGAAAACTTAATCACCACTGATTCACACTCCTCTGTATCTCTTAATATGGCTGGGCAGGAAAAGCCCACTTGTCAAGCAAAGGGAAGACCTAAATGGACTAATTGGGAGTATGACAAGGATGTGTAATCAATGAATATATGGACGTTATAATTAAGAAATATACAGAAAAGTTAGTCTAAACAGGTTATCACACTAAAGAAGAAAACTTACCTTTGTCTTGGGCTCACTGAGAAGACTCCAAGAGGAGTGATCTCCAAAAGAGAACCTTCCCCACTGGTAGTCAGCTTTATGTTGATTTTAAGATGCCTATATCCTTTCTTTGAAAGTCAGGTCTGTTGTGAGACAAAATCTCATCTTTTAAGACACAGGATTAATTGAATAATAATATGGCAATAATAAGGCTAAATATGGGTGGCAGGCTGATGTAAAGACAGAGACATCACTGTCAAGGCCAAAACAATCTTAATACAGGGAAATCTAACTTGATTTATTGTCAGTTGAGATCAGTATTTTATTTCAGTCCTCTCCATGGGCAGTGGTCCCTTTGACAGGGCATCATGGAGCACCTTCTTCCCCTCCTCCTGCCTTGGTGCTCACTGATGTTTCTCACTCTCTTTGTTCCCCCTGCTCTCTCTGTTCGCCATTTTCTACCCACACTGTCCCTGTGGTGCCACCATCTTGGAACCAGCTGTGTTCAGCCCAGGG